TGTTTGATGGGTTGATGGCGATGGAATACAATTCTTTGATCCATCAGTCACCAGTCCTTCATGGTTGAGGTTCGTCTACCACTTGATTGGATGCTGATTGGTTGGCTTGGCTTGGCTTGAATAGGATGGGCATTCATTCAATCTGATTCCCAGTTCCGATCCAACGCGTCGATGGATCCATCTGAATGCTCGACCTTCGCCCCTCGCTGCGCTGTGCGAGGCGCTGGCGAACAGTGCTTGGGCGTTCGCCACCAGCTCCATCAAGCATCCGACGCTCGTCCAGTACCGACATGGAACGGGTAGAGAGCACCAGCGACAGGTAAAATGAGAGGATGGGATCATGACTCATGACAGCTTATATTGAATGTTCACACATCCCGCAAGGCTGGTGGGCAGATGAAAAACGAACGTCGTCCACACCAAGAAACCGCAAACACCTGATTTTGTGTTTGTTTCTATGTCTCGTTCTCCTCCTGAGGCCTTTGTTCGATGCCATTGCCAGGCCCAAGAGTCGACTGAGCGGTTTGTTGTTTCCACGGGGTGGCTCCGCGAGATGCCACGGGGTGGCTCCCCTCCGTTGGTCAAAAAGGCATAGCCTCGTGTTGCAACCACTTCTGGCCAAAAGCCAGCAGCTAGCAAGCCATGAGTCGTCTTGGATTCGTCCCAAGCCTGTGTGAAATTGGCGTTGAGGAGTGTTGTCGCTTCGCATCACATCGGCAGATCGCTGAAGAGCCAGGCTCTCTATGGAGACCCTGTCAGAGTTTGATCAGCAGGATGCTAAAACGGCCACTGGCGAAGTTGACACTTCTGCGGTTGAAGTGCAACAGTCCACTCTGAATGCAGATGGTTGATGAAACAACCGCACTCATTTTTGAGAGGTTTTGCACCTCCAGTCGTGGGGGTTTTGATAAATCAACCGTCTACCATAAAATGAAGTGCTGAATCCACCCTTGAGTCAGCTTGTTGGAAGGGCAAGATGCATGTGAATTGCTGAAGGAAGGCATCCTGATCCTAAGACGTCCTGCAGGAGAATCCTGTCAGCCAGGGACCCCCTCAGCATGGAGATTCACATTCAACATCATCCTACATCATCCAACAACCACAGTTTCATTTTATGGTTTCGATCTGCACATGGCAACTTCTTAAAGGGTCTTGGTTTCCATAGGGGCCCTGGCTGCGGACTCTCTAGCAGGTTTAACTGGGTATAGCAGTCCGGGTGGCTGTCAGACCGGCAGGAGCTCACCAATCTCTCCTGGGCCTTCGCAGAGACCCGCTGCCGCCACCTCCCCTTGATCGAAGCCAGGCGCGGTGCGGGGTGCCCTTTCCAGTGGTGGTAGTGAGAGTGGGTTTCGGTGGCCCTGATGTGGAATTCTTGGGTGCTTCCCCCTTGGGGAGGCTGCATTCGTAGGTTGGCAGCCAAGTCTGCAGACCCTGACGAGAACTGCCATGCCGGAACTCCGCCCCCCACGGTCGCATCCTTTTGAGAGGGGCTTTGCTGGCGCCCACCGTTTTCTTTCCCCGCTGTTCACCGCGACATCACCGTCCAATTCTTGGTGTGCGTCCTCATTTGCGGAACTTCCGTCTTGAATCTTGACTCATTTGACCCTACCAGTCTGGGAGTCATCATCCACTACTACCACTTCGGGGTAGTTCATGAGTCATTGAGTCATTTTCCTGGACGACCTCAGTCTAGACTGGACCTACTGGCTGCTCCCGTGAATGGTCCGTCGCCAGTTCTGCCGCCCTCGTGAACGCCTTGGAGGTCCGTGGCATGAGCGAGGAGGAGGCGTCGGATCGGCACTCCGCGCTTCGCTCGTCGCGCGCTGCGAGCGCGAACGCGAGACAGTGCCTTCGTTCGGGCAGATTCGACCATCCAACATGCGAACATGTGCCACCTAGCCCTGAGGGAACGTGTTAGGGAACATGTCATCCCAAGGGAATGGTCTACCCACCCATGGGTGGCTCCGACGGTCCGTCCGGCAAGGTCATGTCACGTCACGGTCGACCGGACCGAGACGGAGCCTGCCGTGACGCGGTCGCTCGTAGGTGGCACGAGGTGGATATGCCATGGCGTGGGCACAGGCGTGAGGGGCGTGACGTGCCACGGCAATCGGGCAGGGCGGAGCGGGCGGAGCGGGACAGGCGTGGCTGGGGCCCGGGGCGATGCGGAGACATCCTATGCTGAGATCTGCTAAGCGTGTTTCGTTTCTTTTTCACTTCCTTTTTCCTCCTCTTATAGGCTTACTCTCTGACTCACTAACATGGAAGTGAAAAATGACCCCTTGGAAGACTACTTTCCTTTACAAACAGGTGGTTTTGCACTTCCATGTTAGTGAGTCGGAGTGTATAGGGCTTCGGTCCGGTGAGTGTCATCCATTTGGAACACTTTGGTTCATTGCAAGTTCATTCGGCTTGTCGGATGGCGACTCCGTGCACCACCGGAGCTCCCCGGCCGAAGGATCGCCATGGGCGTCCTGATTTGTCGCGCGCCTTGGTGTCGCACTTCATGGTCCGGAAGCCCAGAGGGAGTGGAAGTCAGACCGATGACTAGATGAACAGAAATGATGCCACCTGGCTAGGGAAAGAACGTGTACAGCAAGTTGGGATTTCCTCTTTCCATTACCTTTTTTGGATGGCCAATGAACAGCGCGGGCCAAGGGAAGTCCTGCATTGGTCTTGCGGGGCGTTCTTTTTGGGACGCTGTCAGTGCCTTCGCCTACGGTTTTCATGCCACCCAACAACCCGACAGAGTACTTCAAGAGGCTACATCTCAAAGGACCCCCCCCGCAATTGCTCTGGCCCTCTTAGGGCCCATCAGATAGGGTCCAGGACCAAGGCTGTGGCAGGTGTTAATTTCTTTGAACATCTTTGAGCCAGTAAGCCTTGTGTTGTGTGAGATCCCAGCACACCGACTCAACACTTGCCCGTTCGCGGGCGCTTGGGCTGGAGGGGACCGGATCGGCCTCAAGCCTTGGGCTGAGGTTGGGGCAAGGTGCCACAGCATGGCCTGGGGCCTGGTGATCCAAGATGAGGAACGATCCGGGGCCTGGGTTGTTCCTTTGTATCGAGATTGAATCAATTTAAAGCTTGCTCCATGGTGTTGGTTGCCTGAATCGCCAGATGGCGCGCAGAACCTTTGAAGCCAAGTAGTTGATTGTAACCATGCCCAAACGTGCACTAGATGGATCCGTGCCAGCAGCTGCGAAGAAGAAACTTGCAGCCGGGAAGAAGTATGCAGAGCAGGAGGTCTTCATTCACAACGACTGCAAACTGCAGAAGCTCTTGCGAAGTCTAGTGCAAGCTGGCCAAGCAGCACCAGTTGAAAGCATTGGTGTCATCGTTCAATCAGTCACATCAGGCCAAAAAGTCTATGACCAGAACCTGTGCCAGTGCTTTTGTGCTTTGGGACAGGTGATGAAGGGGGGCTGGCACAGTGAAAGGCCTTGTGTCCATGCTGAACGCCTACCTGGAAGTCAAGAGCGGGATTGTCTTGGCAGAAGAGGTCCTGGAAGACGATGAGCAGATGTTTCTGATGGCTGCGGCGGTTCTCAGTGACCAGCTGCAGGCTAGTGCCAACCTTGTTGAGCATGATGTGAGAGATGCCATGGAGGTGTTCCGCGAGCAGCAGGGCAACCCGAGCCTCTACGAGCTTCTTGTGGACAAGGTCCATGAACAGCGGCCGAACATGGTCTTGCCGCCTTGGCCATCCAGCGGCCAGTTCACGGTGTGGATCGGCGGTGAGCCTACGAAGGAGAGCACGGCTCGGGGCTTGGCTCTTGAAAGGAAGCGGATGGAAGTGTGGATGGCTGACTCGTGGAGCGCCGCCACCACGCTTCGGCTTGTGAATGGGCAAGTGGTTGACTTGATTGGCAGGCCGCTGTAGGAGTGGCGATGTGAGGGGGAGGCCTTGTGTGACGATAGCTTTGTGTGCGCATGCAGAGGCCTGGGGCAATCTATGTGATTGCTGGGGCGGCTTCACTTCATGATGGGGGTGAGTTGAGCCATCACTGTCGCACGGTGTGGAAAAAGTGGCTGAGCGTTCTGAAGCGGTGACAGTGCACCCAGACACAGCTTGTGCCCACCGGTCTCCATAGTACACACGTCACCCGTGAAGTGTTTGAGTGCCGACCGGCGGTGCAGCCAGGAGTGGCGTCATCATGCCCCACCCAACGGTGCAGTGACAGCGCTGGAGGTGGGGCTTTGGCGGCTTGCAAACACAAGCGCCCCATGTCCTTGTCTTGAGTCGTTCGACGCTTTGCTTCTTGTCCGGTGGCCGGTGTCCATGGTTGTGAAGACGTGTGAGTGTGACAGTGTGTGGGAGCCCAAGATGGTTCGGAACAGGTTGGGGTTCTTATGGGTCGTAGTCATAGCCATACCATACATGGGTGACTAAAAGCACACGTTGGCCTCAATGAGTACATGCGATTTCCCTAGTAACTGTGGGTGGGCATCAACGCTTGTAGGCTGCCGTGATTCCCGTAGGGGGAAAATTGTGAAAATTTGGTTGAGTAGTATTTCTTTGCCCGGCCCAAGTTCCTCCTACCATCTTGGAACCTGTTAGCCAGGAACTTTGGGTTTGCGTGTGTTCGGGGGGTGGGTTTGCTGGAAACTACATATGTGGGAACGGAGGGTTGTGATATATTGTGATCATTGATGTCGATTGCTCATATAGAGATCTTCCATTTGGATGGTGAGCGTTTTCACGTGTTTTGAGTGAAGTTGAGATCTACAATATTGTCCTGGGATGGCGTATGCGCCTGAAGCCCACCAGATGTACTTTGAACGCAGGCGATGGCGCGGACCGCAAGCTTCGACTTCGGGCGAGATGAAAAAGTTGTTCCGGAGGGCGGCGCGAGCCAATTGGATCGAGGTGCAAAAGTCGGCTCTAGGCAAGGTTGGGGCACACGGGTTTTGAGCCCCTTAATTTGCAATGTCGGAATCTCTGTCAGGGGATGTTAGTCGGCTGAGCTCGAGTTTGGTCGCCTTGTCCTTTCAACCGTGTTTCCCTTCCGCCAACGACGTGCGAGACAACAACTGAGATTGAACAGGCTTGAGGATTCAGATTGGTTCTTGCATGTTCTTGGGATTTTCCATCGGCTTTTGTTCCGCCAGCATCTCAGATAGCTGGGTGGCCTCAATGAGTGGGGAGGTGATTTGCTTCGTGTTTCCTGGGGCTGCCGGCCATGTGAACCCCTCACTGCCCATCGCACGGCGCTTGGTCCAGCAGGGCTACCAGGTGGGGGTCGAACTTGGAAAGGTCAAGCCAACAGGCGACTGCGGACGACTGGCGCCATGATCACCATTCTTTTGACTGAATTTCATCCCAAACGATTTCAAGATCTAGTGTTTTTGGGGCCCGACTTCCCAACAGCCCCTACCCAGCCGCCCCAACCCCCACCTCCTTTGCATTCTGCGAGTTGGGGGGTCTGCAGGTGGAGTATGTCTGCAGCGAGGCCCTGCGTGCCCCGATCGCCGCCACGGGCGCGACCTTCCGTGATGTGGACTTCGTGGTGGTGCCGCGTGCGGCGGGGGACGTCTCCAGCGCACGCGAGATGATCGTGGCGCGGCAGTCGTGCTGGTGCCGGAGGGTGAGAAGGCATAACATGAACCTTCCAACCAACTACGGCAACAAACTTGCTGAACTGGGTTGATTATGAGGGATGGCGTGGCAGACATTTGTGCAGATGTTGGACAACCTATAGGTATCTGAGTGGAGTGTTTTTGGTGTTGCACAACGCAAGGCTGCTTGTACAGTAGTATGGCACCTAAAGCACCTGCTTAGCACCTGCATGGCAAGCCACCAAAAACTTGTGGAAGATGGTTCCCCTTTAGCCCATGGGTTGCGGTACCAGTCTTGGTGTGCATTTTTTCATATTTTTTCACTCAGCTCACCCGGCCTTAGGTGAGCACCCTCCAAGCCTATGAGGATCCTGGGGCCAATGCTTGGGCGTTGAACTTCGGGAGCCTGGCAGCCAGCAAGCTGATCCCCATCTTCGTGGACTTCTTACGCGAGCTGGCACCCAAGCTGCTGGTGTATTGCTCCTCGGAAGTGGTGCCCCTCCCAAAAGGATGGGCCACACACGGTCCGGTAGCACCCTGGGCGTGACATAAGAACTGCCCTTCTGGAACTAATAATATGGAAGTGGAGCGAAAACCACCTGTTTGTAGTGGATAGAAAAAGGTCTTCCAGTCGAGGCGCAGGATGTCCACGCCCAGCCCCAGGGAGTGCATACAGTAAATGATCATTACCAGGACCTTCCTGTCAGGGTGCCCTGGCTGGAAGTCTCTACACCACGAAGGGACCTCCATTGGACACCCCTTGGAAGGTCCAGGTAGGTAGTATGCACTCCAAATCATCCAAACGGAAGGGTCCAAGAAGACTGTCGTGACGTGGGGGCAGGGGGTCCATGGTCGAATGCTGGAGCCTTGGCCACTAGGCCACTCTCAGTGGCCTTTTGCAGCAAGAATATGCTCATTTCTTGCACCTAACACTCCTCCATCCCACCTGATTGGCTATCAGAAAGATCAGAAAGGGGAATTACTAGGGTGGTATGGCACGCAGGTCCTGTGCTATGCTCCTACGCGCACCTGGCGGCTTCCCATCTGAAGATCCCAGACGTGTCGCTGCTGACCGCCAGCGGCCCGGGCTTTTGGGATGCGGCGTTCACTACGCATGGTGGGTCCGCCAAACAGCTGTGTGAGGCAATTGGCAAGAATGCCGCGAACAACAAGGCCGTTCAGGAGATGCGACAGATCACAACAGGAAAGACTCATGTGTTTCAATCCGTTGGCAGTCCCAAGCCCATTGGGGAATTCCTCTCAAACTTTTGTGAGTACTGTTTGAGGCTTTTGTTCAGACGATTCGAGCCGATTGTGCGAAGCGCCTCCGTCCAAGCATCCTTCTCTCCTCCCGCCGTTGGCGTGTAGATCACCACGCTTTGGGTGGTGCAGTGGTGCTGCGTAGGTGTATAGGTGTTGCTTTCATCTCCAGCCGTTGGGCTTCTGAACCCGACACACCTGCTGAGTTATTCTTCAAAACCGGCTGCTGGGTCGTTCGTTCTGAACCAGGAGATCCGGGCGTTCCTGGGAAAGCCCGAGCTGAAGCTGAACACCTCGGAGCCGCTGATCTGCGACTACTACACCCGCCTGAATCTGGTCACCACCATTCCGTCTCTAGCGGACCCCCTGAACGACGCGGATGCGCAGTTCTATCGCGAGGCCGGGGTTGTGGCCCCGCGGGCCTTGAGGCCTGTCATTTGGGCCTTGAGGATCTCGGATGGTTTGAGGTTAGATGAGGTTCGGTTAGCATTCCTGTCGGTTTTTGGGTGCTTCTCATAATCAAGCCATCCAACTTGTTGGACACTTCCCCAAAATATACCAGCCTTCGGGGAGATGACGCGACCGACCCCGAGACAGCCTCCTTTCAAGGCCCGAGACGGACCTCCGGTCTGGTCCCGCCCAGGCGGGGCAAGACTTCCACTTCATCGGTCCCTGTTTGGACGAGCCCGGCGAGGGCGAGAAGAGCGAGGAGTTGGAGCTGCGAAGGCTCTGGGAGGAGTGGAGTTTGGGGAAGGGGAGGAGTGGAGCCGGCGTGATTGGATTGGATGAGTGCGTTTTTTGGGGGGGGCAGTGGTGTTCTGATGAGGGCCAACTTCTGGCTTCATGGGGGGTGTGGGCAAGGGGATAGGGTTTTTGTCATAGGTTTGGGGCTTTGTCAGGTGGTGCTGATGGAATGACACCTGATGAAGCCAGTTGGTACATCTTCTCACTGCCGTTGGTACATCTTCTCACTGCCGGTGCCCGGTTGGCCCATGAACCACACCCTTCAAGCTTCAGTGAGTGGTTGCTGTGCACCACCTCGGACACCCTCCAGGAGATCCAGGAAGCCATGGCCCAGAAGCGCGAGATCATTTACGTCTCCATGGGCACGGTGCTCACCGGCGATCATCCAGACCATGGCTGGCATGGTCAGAGTGGCACGCTGCTCACGGGCCAGCAGCTCTGCCAGGCCGCGCCAGCTCACGAGCGCTGGAGGTCCACGGAGTCCACTGCGATTCCACGCTTTTTCGGTTGACTCTTGTTGGGGGGCCGTGGAGGCACAGTTGGGGTGGGGCTTGGAAGGCACAGAAACGAATCCTATTTTCTTTCCATGACACTGGAGGCGGTCTACCGTGCCACCTTTCGTGCTCATGGCGATGCGGATTCCCAGTTGCTGGTGGTGGCGCTGGGGAGAGAGCCGGCGGAGGCGCTCGAGGGACTGGAGGTACCAAAGAACTGCAGGTGTCTGAAGCACCTGCCGCAAGTGGAGCTCCTGACGAAGGTCTGGAGCTGGAGAACTGTGTGGTCGGGACTGTGGGGAGAACTGCTGGGGGGGGTAACAGATCTAAAAGGACCATAGTTGAAGGGAATCACCAGAAGGCGCTGAAAGGGCCAGGATGGCTAGGGCCAGGGTCTGGAGATGTTTTGTTTTGTTGGAGCTGCTGGTGAAGGTGGATGCAGTTTCCCCACAACTATTGGTTGGAACACTCTCAACCGTTTCCCCCACTGAAGCCCAAGCCGGCAACTCTGCTCATGCCATCTCATGCCGACGCGATCCAATTCAGAACAAGCTACTGCCTTCTTCCATCAGTGCCATGTGTCTTGTTTTTTTCTGCCCAAGCAGGCTTATTCCCCCAGGTTCGTGGTGTGAACTTGTCAAGAGCCTCTCATGCCTCTCCCATGCCTTCTCTCCATGTCTTCTCTCCGGGCCCTAGCAGGCACACCTCTCCATCCCTACCCTTTGACTTCCTCAGGCCTCCCTCTTCGTGACGCACGCGGGGCAGAACTCCTTCACCGAAGCCCTGAGCGCGGGCACTCCCATGGTGGCCTGTCCCGGCTTCGGGGATCAGCTGGCGAACGCCCAGCGCGTGGAGCGTTTGGGCGTGGGCCGCCAGGTGCCGCGGCCGGCGGCGGCTGGAGCCGCGGAAGCTCGGGTTGGAGGAGGTTATTTTGTGGAGAGGACGTTTTGGTGCTACATACAGATGCAAAGAATACATGTACCCAGACGCTCATGGGCCCTCATATGGAGGGGTCGGACCCTCATATGGAGGGGTCTGGGGTCTCAAATCCCTAGGGTTTTGAGGTACCAAGAGCTGTTTGGAGCGTCTGGGTACAGTGCAAACATAAATACACAACTAAGAACAAAAAACACCTTTTACACCAGGAGTCACAAAACCTAATGGATAATGGGCACCCTAAACCTCCATTAAGCACACCTTTGTGACTGCTGGTATATGATATGACTGGTTTCAGGCCCTGGGCCCTTGATGAGAAGCAACTATTTCAGGAAGCCGACGTGGTGTCCGCCTTGGAGACTTACGAGGCGCACGTCTGTGAGGCGGTGGGCACCGTGCTGAGGTCCACCGAGTGTCGCGCGAAAGCTGGGGCGCTGGCGGAGGAGGTGCAACGTGGTGGTGGAGCAACGAAGGCGGTGGAACTCATCCTGGAGGTCATGAAGTGACGAAGTCACTGGAATTCCAGACCCACCCGTTAATGTATCATCCTTGTGGGACGGCTGCGTTGTAGCCACATGCTGCCGAGAGAGAGACCCACCCATTGAATTGTTTACACAGATGTATTCGCAGATGTTTGCTGCGTGACTGGTGCCAAAGAGCCGGTTTCAGCTTGGAAGATTGAAAGTTGCCGGGGTTGGGCTGGCGTGGCAGTTTGAATTGAACTCCCCATTGTTGTCATGAACGAGCAGGGACCAGACCATGATGGTTGATCACCGATCTGTCTTTCCCTGCTAGTCCAGGAATGAAGCTTTGATCAGATTTGGACGCGTTGGACTGATGGTTGATCACCGCAGCCAGCTTGAAGCGATGGGCATGCGACGGGCCATGAGTCACAGTAGGCGCTCCCGGGTGGGTCATGCGGGTCACAACAGGTCTTCAGATGGTATCGAATGGTGCAGAAACACACTTGGAGGCAGTAAGTAATAATAGAGTCACTATGAAGAAATAGGAATGCTGCTAATTAGTCATAACAAATGTTTCCAAAGCGTAATTATACAATCAGTATCCAATACATGTGGCCACACAAGGTTTGACCTGATCTGATCTTGCGGTTGGGCTTGTGCCCCATCACGAGAAATACACGCGTGGAAGCGGTGCATCATTTCACTATCATGGCGGGCTATGACATTGAAGATGGGGCACTGAAGTCCTGCCAAAGCAAGGAGATGCGGATGCAAGTGCTAATTCATGGAAAAAGGTAGAATGGGATGTTTCTTCAATGCTTTTATATATTCATTTGTATTCATACAAGCCTTATTCATGGAAAGACTCTAAGACGGTAGAACAGCGTTTCTTCAGATCATCTGGGACCTGCCGCCAGGACTCAGTCTTCAGCAATCGCTCCTGTAGCCATTGCTCAGGCACATGCGGGGGTTCTTCCGCAACCACATTTCTGTGCCTGTAGAAGATTTGAAGTGAACATGTCAAACATGTTCATGACATGTTCCAGGCCGAACTCCTGCAAAAACACGTTTCCATGGGCCAAAAAATCTCACAGATCAACTGAGATCAACTATCTTCAACTGAAGAGCGAGCATCATGAGAACTTGAGAACTTCACCAGTTGAAGACAGTTGATCACTGGAAAATCAACCATATAGTTGTTGGTATACCCACGAACCCATGAAAATCCCATGAGAACTTCACTGGCGTCCAGTGCCCGACAACGCACTCCTTGAGCCGTGTCCGAGCGCTTCGCGCAGTCAGTGGAAGCGGCGTGGTGCGGGTGCCCCAGGACGTGCTGGGCGACAGGACGTACTGGCTCTTCCGCAGGAAGTGAATGGTCTGCATTGCCGTTATCTTTGGCCACACCCAGCTTCCAAGACTTGCGACCGACCCGCTGCCGAGGCCTTGTTCGACACACCTGGCTTCGTTCAGGGCGCGCAACGCAGCAGTCCTTTCATTGACCCCATTGGCACCTCTGTCTTCGCACCTCGCCGCCACCGGCGCGCCGTTGTCCCGCCCGCGCGGCGGGTGCGCGCGTTGTGGGCGTCGGCGCGTGGTCTGCGTCGGAAGTGTCTGGCGACTCGCCGGGGTCGGATCTCCTCCGTTGGACGGGGGGGGTGTATTTTAGGAGGCCCTAGCCAGGGGTCGACGGGTCTATTTCCCCTTCCAGGAGCTATGGCTAGATCAACTCAGTGGTTTTTTGGAGGTTCCCATCTTGATATGCAGAGGGGCAATTAGTTATCCTTGGACTTCTTCACATTGTTCCATGGATGGGAAGTTCAGGACAAACTCTTAGTGAAACACTAGCAGCTCTAGCAGCTCCGAGTGAGACATCCTTCATGCGGCGGATATGCTTGGGCACGTCGAGCACATCCCGCCCAGGAGCTGTTGAAGATTGGCATCGGCCCATCGAGCAGTCACACCGTCGGGCCCATGCCACTGGGATGCCAGGCTTATCAGGAAAGGTAGATTCAGCTATACCTGAGTTCAATTAGCTTTAGCTACAGGGCAGGATCCTCCCACACGCCATGACTTTGGGCTCGCGAACCCCCCCCTCCCACTCAAGTGACGGTCTGCTATTGCACAACCTGCCTGGAGTTCATTTCACCGACCTCCAGGACCTCCGGGCACCGGACAAATCCAGCTCAGACGATCCCGTGCAGTTCACGTCGAGCCCTGCGAGCCCGCGGGACGCCGCGGGAGCCGAAGTCGCCCAGGTTGGCGTGCCGGAACTTCGCGAAGCGCCGCTGGGCAGTGGTCGGAACCAAGAGCGGTGGGAGCCAGTGGGAGCCAAGGATCACCGGGTGTCCTGTCGTGGTGTGGTGTGCTTCATGTTGAGGCTGTTGAATCTTCAAGCAGGATTAGTACCTGGGCCATCCAATGGGTGTCCAATGGAGATCCTCAAGTAGTGTAGGGTAGTCCATTGGACACCCATTGACTGGTCCTGGTAGTTCTGTTGTGGTGTTCTCTTTTCTCCACATCGGCCACCCCCTTTGGAGAGCCACACCTCCCAGTCCGATCACCCCCCCCACCGTTCACCCCGGATCCGAGCCAAACATCGAAGGCTTGGCCAAGCAGAATCTCTTGAGCGAACTCTCCACGATCTTGGTGGAACTTCGGGGTTCATTGGCACTCACCGGCATTGGGCACGGCACCAACAAGGCCACTTGGAGCACATCTGCCATCTTGCTCACACTTGGTGGCTTTTTGATGCTTTTTATGGGCTTTTCGCCCACGCAACGTGTGGCATCTGGCGAAACCAACGCGCAGATTTGGTCACAACGGGTGACCAATTAAGCACAGATGCGTTGGCGATGTTCAAGCTGCTGAAGTATTTCACTTTCTGTCGTCCTCTTTCGGGGAGTCATTTTGGGGGGGCCTTTTTCAAACCGACCAAGTTGGTTGCCTTCAGACATGCGCCATCCGCCACAGAAAGCCATGCAACCAACCAATTAAAGACCATACAATCCACCCCCCCGGTACTTTTCGGGGTTCCACGTGGGTCTGCAGCTGGGGACTCCGCCAGGGACTCCGCGCTCCGAACGGGACTGCGCTGCTCGGCACGGGGAGTGAGGCCTGCGTCCTGGGACTGCACGGCGTGGCGCCCGCAGAGGTCGATCCGGCGCGGAGCCCAAACCGGTGGAAGGAGGACAGCAAAGATGCAACAGGAAAGCGTCTTGTTTTGGAGGACTTCCAAATGACATGCAGGAAATCCACATCCAAATGATAACATGCAGATCGAGATATAGGTCATAGGAGTCATAGGTGAAGATTTTGCTAGGTGAAGAGAGTTGGTGGACCTCGGGAATCCACGGTGTGGTCGACCTGAAGTAGGCGACGATTGAGCCTTTCCTGCTGGATGTGAAGGAGCGAGGCGGGATGTGAAGGAGACTTGCTCGAGCTTCAGGAGAGGTCGAAGGAATAGATAAGAGGACAATGATCATCTTCAGGGAGTGTATGAGTTCAAGGACGTTAAAGGCATTAAAGGTATATGATTGATCATATACACAATGTATCATGGAAGACGAGTAGAGGAGCTTTGGGGCCGGAACAGCCCACTGATATCAGGATACCCCCCGCTTTTTACATCCCAAGCTCCGACCCGCGAAGTGCTGACCCTGCGAAGGCAAGCTGCTGGTGGGCTTCAAGAGCGACTTCAAGGAGATCACCTTCTCCGAGGAGGACCGACGCGCCGGTCCCCTTGGTCGCCCCATCCTGCGACTGCGCCGGAGCGGCTGCAATGGGTCGATGGTGACATGTCATGGGGAGAGGAGAAGGGTGTCGATCCTGTTGCACCCACCATGGTTTTGGTGTACCTTCGAAGCGGACGAGGTCCACCACCCCGGTCCACCTGTTTGGATGTCTTCTACTACCGCGTGTGGCTCACAGTGACCAGGGTCAGGGAGCATTTGGGGAAGAAGCCGTGCACGGCCAAAGCCGGTCAGGACGACATTCTGCTGGTGGCAGAGGAGCTGCCGTTGCATCCCAATGCCATGATTTGTCGTGCGCTCTCAGCGGACTACTCCTGAACCTGGGACCTATATATCCTTGGGTGAGGCTGCCCGTTTCATATGATGTGTTCACTATTTGTGTTTGATGTCACAAGGTATGTGTCATATGTTGCCATGGGGCAGAACAATCCTGCCACATTTTCATTGTCTCCCCATGTTTTGTCACTCCCGTTCTCCCACGCCCTTCCTCCAAAATCCGCCAGATCTGCCCACCACCAATTCTGGATGGCCTCCAGGTTCTCGGTTCTCGGTCCTTCTTGCACTGCGCAACTCGGGTCGCCCCCCGCCCCCCCTGAGGTTTGTTGGAGGTTCGTTACTACTCCACGGGTGGAGGCTTCATCCTCTCAGAGGAAGAGATGCTTGCAGCTGGACCGGTCCCGTCGGTGGTGCCATGGTCCATAGGATCGACCAAGTGCCATTTGTGGGTGCCGGGCTGGTCGTGGCCGCCCCAAACGCGACGCGAGGACAAAGTGCCGGGAGCGCAAGCCGGTCCTTCCCCATAGCATTTCGGAGCATGGCGGAGCTGCTATCTATTTGTGAAGTCGCTTGGTGGTCCGAAATGGTCCGGGTTGGGGGGGGGACGGAGACGCGTCTCTATATAGTTGGTAAAGAGTTGATGCAGAGAGGCACTTAGGCTCACTTCGAGCTGATCGCTTTGACGTATTGGTTGGAGACTCGTGACGCGACTTCTAGTCTAATTAGTCTAATTTTGCGGAAAAGTAAACCGGCTGACAGCCCTTCACATGCTGGCATTCAACCCACGTCTTCGTCGCCGCTTCAGGAAAGGAACGTGGACATTGCATCGGTGGTGCGCACCAATGAGGAGGCATCAGCTGGCAAAAGGGCCACACTTGTTTGGAGCTCCCAAAACTATGGAGTCGCCAGCTGTTGTATACACAAAACTGTCTTGTGTCATTTTCCTTGGATCATCTCAGAAATTCTGAAACATTTCCTTTCTCTGTGAGATTCCGAGGGTTGAACTCCAACCTCAAAACTCAAAACCCTTTTCCTGATCCATGAATGTTTCTGGCATGGTTGCGAATGAGAGTCTTGGCTTATAGATGCAGAAGTTGCACACCTATGAGGACCGGCACTAAGAGCAGCAAGCTTTTGCCCAAAAAGACGCACTGCATCCTGACACCTGAGTGACGCCTCCACCCACCTATCTGACGTCACCCCTCGGCACCCGGTGACGTCCCGAACCACGTCGGAGCCACGTCGACGGATCTCCACCGATCTCCACCGCCCAGTCCGGGTGCCGCTTTCTCAGGCGCGCCGCAGCCCGGAGGAAGTCTCGCTGGGCCTGGGAGAGCTCTGGGCCGTCATGGAGCAGTGCATCCAACGCGGGTCCGGGCCCCCGGGGGGGGGGCGTCGGAAGACACGGGGACGGGGCCGGATGCAGGAGGGACCAGGGAGGTACAAAGGCGGAGGAAGAATGAGGAAGTCGATGTGGTGGAAGGTAAGACCCGCATGTTTATAGGTTCGAAGAGCACATCGCATTCATTGGTTTGACTGGTAAGGCAGGCGGGGTGGAGGAGACGGATTTCGAACCACAGAACTCTGATCCGTTGATCTTGGTCGCCCAGGTTGGAGCCCTCCAAGGCCAATGCCTTGCTCCCTGGCCCCTTGCAGATCCATCGCCAAGCCCCGCAACTCTATGCCACCGCGCTGGAGGTCGGGCTACCTGGCGTCCTCCTGGGGTACTGGGGCATCCCAAATCAGAAAGAAGTCACACTCCAATTCGGCCGTGGCGTCATGTCGCCCCGTCTCCGTTAGTGTCTCCACCTCCATCACTTCGAGTTTTGCCTTGTTGCCACGTGTCAGGAACAAAGGCGATGCGAAGCTCAAGATTTGCCATTTGGCACCACAGCTCCCCCAATGATTGTCGCTGCATGTCGCGACTTGAGAGTTGAAAAGCATGAAATGTTCTGAGATGCATTAAGTGCCCTACAGGTCAGATTGACATCATTTTCACGGAGTTGATCAAAGGTTTGCAGTGCAAGATTTCCATCCGTGTTATCGCTGCCCACCACATGCCGCCGTACTGGTGTGTGCGGGTGTGTGGGTGTGTTCGGTTCTGGCAGGCTGTGGGGGGGGGGCGACGAGGTCGCTTGTTTCCACCTTGAGTCCCTGAGGCGGCAGCCTGTCATGGACGAGCTGCGCTGGTTGAATTGTTACGCGCTGGCGGTGATGGACACTGAGCTGATCTGAGCAGCGGAACGCCGGCTGGTCATCGGTTCTTAGTTGGTTTGGAATAGTTAGTTGATGGAATTTTCAGAATTCCCAACCAAGAAAAACAAAACAGTAAGTTGGCTTGGAACTGATTAAACAATTGCTGCTCCGTGCTTAATTACAGACATTCCCATGGATGGTGGATTGACTTGGAATCGATCTTGGCTCAGTCGCTGTGTGGTCTAACGGAACGTCAGTGACGTTCCGTTGGTTCAGATGTGTTCCTAGCATCTGAACCAGCTCAGTTGATGTGGTTGCTGAATCAACTGAATCAACTGGTTTAGGAGCTTGTTCAAATTGATTCAGCTCCCGGGTCCTTCTGTTTGCACGTCCGTGTTCACATCCGACCACCCTCCCTGGGGACCCCTCCGCTGTCAGGAAGAGAATGCCTGCATGGGACGCTTGGTCACGGCTCCCACCAACGGAGCCGCTGGCGTCGTTCCAGCCGTCCTGGCCTACTACATGAGGCGCCCGGCCCGCCGACGCACGACCGGTGGCCCCCGCGGAAAGAACGCACCGAAGCGACGAGATCCGGACTGACCTGGTCGACCTGGTCGGCGTCCCAGGCACCTGCGACCCACGCAGCCAGAGTCGGAGCAAAAGGATCCTGCCACCTTCCTACTCACCGCGGCCACGGTCGGAGTCCTGGCCAAGGATGCCCAAGCCAAGTCTCGGCGCCGCGCTTTGGCGAGATGGCATCGTATGACTGGAGCTCAAAGTGTTAAGATGCAGTTACATGGAGGTTCTATTCATGTTTTCCACTTACCGGGGGGGTAAATTGGGAGTGAGTCCATTTCATTTCCTGAATGATTCATAGCTATATATCATATATGTTTGTTTTATTCGGATTGTTTCAAGAGCATGTAGCTTTGCAGCCACGCAGCAAAGTTCCCATGCTTGTGATGCTTCCCCTTTTTCTTGTGTGGCAGCGCGAGGAGCACGCCTGCATTTCAGGTGCTGCAGGAGGTTGCCAGGCCGAGCTGGTTGTGCGGATGCGAAGCAGGTTTCCACTGACTCTAGCTGCTAGCTTTTAACTTTTAATATGCATGCATGATTATGCATGAGCAATATTGAACAATAGATGCGATTACTTACTAGAACAAATTCCGCAGAGAATCCAAGAATGGAATCTAATCCATTTGTGTTGCATGTCTTCAATCCTTCCCATCACTTCCATTGTTACACCTATAGACCAACCCCCCTCGCCCTGTGAACTGTGACCAGGCGGAGGTGGGCACCGCCACAGCCATGGCCGCTGCCGGTCTCATGGCCGTGCTCAACGGCACGCCCCGCCAGGCTGTGGGAGAACGCGTGACGCCTGGCTTCGGGCGTGGTGGCTTGGGTGGTGCGGAGACAGCGGCGGGATTTCGGGGTTCCAAGAAGTTCTCGCAGATGGCGGTGAAAGATGGCGATAGGACACTTGGAACATTGGTCAATCAGTGCACCACCATCTATAGTTATAGTTTGGTATGCAGCTTGTGCAATGCATGCATACCCGCCTGGTATGCTGCTGGCGCAGCTCCACAGAATTATGGCAGGACCTAATTTGCTATGGCTATGCCTTGCTATGCATAAAATTATGGCTTGTTAGCTTGGTGAGGTGGCAGCAGCTGCAACCAGCGCATTGGAACACAGCTTGGGCATGACCTGCGACCCAGTGCTGGGATTGGTACAGGCCAGGGTGCCGCCAGCTTCGGGGAGAGCTTTTGGTCCAGTTACAGAGGTTTGGTGCAGAAGTGCTGCTGTTGAGTGTAGCCCAGGCCACGGATTTTCCATGCTTGCGCACGGCAGGCCATGTGACATGTGGATTTGGGAGACCTCCCTGGGAATTCTCATGATCCGAGCTCGAGCCACCCAGCCCAGCCACCCAGCCCACCCTTCGACTTCGCCAGGCCCCGTGCATCGAGCGCAACTCCATGGGCGCCACCAAGGCGGTGAACGCCGTGGCCTTGGTCCGCTCCGGTGCCTCTCAGAGTTTGTTGGACCTGGATGGCGTGCTGCGGGTGATGAAGGACAAAAGGGTCGTCTTGGAACGTCCAAACAGAGGGTTGGGGGTTTTCAGCGGCGGCTGGCCGTTGGCGTGCTGTTTTTGAATGCAATGTTTTGAGATGTTTTGAGTCAAGATCTTTTTGAAACCGGAAACCACCATGTTCGGCGGAGACGCTCATTTGACGCTTAATTTAAACGTCAGCTTTACCATGGTTCACGCGGCACCGCGTGTTAGCAAGTGATGTGCCGCGTGTTGGCCAGTGAGTTTGACCAGGAGACAGGCAGTGCGATGGACAAACGGTATCGCGAGACCGCCTTGGGCGGCCTGGCGGCGGACTACGAGCGATCTCTGCAGGAGACTCCTCAGCTGCACCTTGGAAAGGACGGGAAAGACGGGAAAGACGGGAAAGATGATCGAGAGATGCAGAGGTGCCACCAAGTTGCTGGAGAATACAAGGGGGATGGAGTTGGAATGGGTTGAGCACGCTTGTGATTACAAACGGTGAGCAAATGCAATCGCATTTGATCGTAATTGTATCAGTTTATGAAAGTGCTGAGAACTCTGGATTTCTGGTCCCAACTGGATGTCCTTCTCTCATGATCAGTGTGGTATCTTCAGTCTTTCCCCCAACATTTTGCGCTTTTCAGAAGATCCTTGTCCTTGATTTTTAGTAGACCTGTCCCATCCTGTCCCATGAGATCTGGTCTTGCAACCTCTCCCAACAGACGAGGCAAGAGGTGGTCACCAGCAGCATGGGCTTCCAACGCATTCAGTCCGATCCTTTGGAGCGAGGTCTGGGGCACCGGTGGCACCGGTGGACGTCCGGTGGAGCAACGAAGCAGGTTGACCTGTTGACCTGGCCAGGTCAACAGGGTCAACCTACCAAAGGGTTTGGAGCTCCAGGTTTGGACTCACAGCGGATCTGCGGATCTAGTCCGTGTTCAGGTGCCTTGTTTGGAGGGGTGCCGGGCCATACCTGGGCCAATCGCCCAGGTGTATCCCGCCAGGGTCTGTCCGAACTGACCTGTAGAGCCGTCAGGTTTCACAAGCAAATCACTCTTTTTGGACAAGGCCTGCAACTGAACCATCATCATTTACTGGGTCCAGGATAGATCGGATAGACCCAATGTATCCATTTGCAAGGTTTTATTGCCATGAAACTGCTCTTTGTTGATCTTTGTCGCAGCTCGTGCGGCGATGCACTTCCATGACCCATGACGCAGCTCGATGCGCTGCTCACAAGACTCCTTGAGGCATGGAACTAAGAAGCAGCTGAAAAGGCAGGTGACTTATGAGGACCGCCAGATGCTGTTCAGACACGCTTGGAATTCATGGTCGAAGCAGAAGGAGGCATTGTCGAAGCAGAAGGAGGCTAATGTTGTAGGCCTTCAGAATCTTTTTTTTTAGACCAGACGAATTGAATTTGGAGAATGTTATACATATATTCCAACTTTTGGAATATACATAGTAGTAGAGAATTCATGAATCTCACCTGGCTTGTGCGTCAGAAAGGCACCATGTGGTTGAACCATGAAAAATACCACCAGACCATGACGCCGACGACATGAAACAATCGAGGAACACATTGTCACAACTGACTCTGGAGGATTTGGAGCAACGGTTGGTCTTCCAGCGCATGGAGAGCCAGGCCGTCTCCAAGTGCTGAAGAACAGGCGCCGAACCGAATGAAACCGACGAAAACGGTCCACCCAGAGATGTTCGCATGGGCGTCCTTTAATTGCACTATACTACTAGTTCCCAGTGCCCAGGATGTTTGGTGTTCAACGAGTTGTTCCAAAAACAGAAGTGGGATGTTTTGTCTACTTGTGCCGCTTGTGCGACGTGCTGGCCGCTTCGCATAAAGCGCTTTCGCCGCTTTGGCCTCCTCGATGTGTGCTTGGCCGTCTCAGGTTCGAAGAAGACCATCTTCTACTCCTCGCAGATGCTGCAGGCCAGCTGAGCCCAGCTGAGCGCAGCGCAGCTGCTCTTCAGCTCGTCAGATTTGGTAGAGCAATGTCCCACCTGTTGGAGAACTCCTTCGGCAACTTTTACAGCCACGTCCGTTTTTTTGACGTTGCTGTTAGTTTTAGGGACTGGGAAATCTGTCATGGCAGTTGTGGTGCCAAGTGGTTGGTGGACTTCTTCGAGACATTTGAAAGAAAGATGACAAAAAAGACGGAACCTCTTCAAGATCTTGACACGAAGCTTTAGATTCCATGGGAGAAACCGATGTGTCTTTCTCTCAATCAACCAATTCCAATTGATGGGTTTCTTCACAAGGCCATGTCAGCTGCTTAAACCAGGGCAGCACTTCTTCAGCACAGGTCCGGAGAGCCAACCCTGCTCTACATGGTGAAGGAGCACATCCTTTTTGGTGGAAAGTTGACTCGATGACCGAGTATATATTAATTCACAGAGGAGAAACCATGGAAGAACATGATGCGCGTATCTCATGTACTTGCACATCTTACACTAGGCCAGAAAAATCCCACACTGAACGTCATGGGAAACGGTTCATTCAACCTGCTGGCAGTTGAGTCACCATTTCCGGCAGTTTTGGCTCCAGATCGGCGCTCCAGATAGGGCGCCCTATGGAAGGCAAGAAACTCTACGCGGCCCAGGTACTTAGGACTTTCCGATTCCCCTCGGGTGGGGCTTTACTGGTAGCGTTTGCCTTTCTGGTGACTGGATTCACGCGTTGCACCCCATCTTTCGCGGTCATGTCGAAACGAGCGATGCCCCAGCCGATTGTCTTTGTGACGGGCAACGCGAAGAAGTTGGAAGAGGCCAGGAGGAGGAGAACTAGCGGGCATAGTCAGCGACCATTGCTCTGAGACATGGTTGACTTGTAGTAGATGCAACTTTGGTCTCGACGGCTTGCATTCTGCAGATAGTACTGTACTAGTACTGCCAGTTCCTGACATGAATGGGCCGTAACATCAGCCCTTCCCCGAGACAGATCCGTGCTCCATCCACTCACAGACATTTCCCGCCAGTCCCTGGGGTCCGGAACCCCGTTGGCCCTTTCTTGGGGCATTCAGCAGGGTGCTCGCACCAAAACCCCCGAGCCCCACGCGGCAAGCCTGGCCGTGCAAGAACCGGCCCCGCGACGCGGCCGACGCGACGCGACGCAGGTGAAGCAGATCTTGGCGTCGGGGGCGGAGGAGCTGCCTTTTGAGGTCACCTCCCAGAAGGTCCGACCCCCCCACCCGTTGGGGTTTCGGTGGAGCGGAGTGGGGTCCTTGAAGAGTTCTAGGATGAAGGATGGTGATGGTCACCACTGGGAACTTACTACCTACCGGGGCCATTATCGACTGCCAGTCAAAGCCTGCCAACCCCCCAAAAACCCTTCAGCCGCGCTGTGAAGTCCCGGCCCCACGACCCGCTCCGCATCCGCGTCCGCGTCCGTCTCGTGCAGGTGGACCTGCCGGAGCTGCAGGGCGCCAGCTGCGAGGAGATCGCGGTGGAGAAGTGTCGCCTGGCGGCGCTCGAGGTCAAGGGCCCGGTGATGTGCGAGGACACCTCGCTGTGTTACCACGCGCTCAAGGGCCTGCCAGGCGGGAGAGGAGGGAGAAGGACTGGGAGAGAGGTATGGAGAAGTGAAGTGAGGGAGAGAGAGGGGTTAGAAGGTGGATCGGTTGAGGTTCAAACCTGAAGATTGGGAGGGGAGTTGGGAGGGGGTGACTTTGGGTGGACATGTGGGCAAGTTCTTCTATGTCCGTCCAATTCTTTTCGTGACTTTTGTGAACATGTGGCTCTTGGTCCAATCAATGTATGCTTGTGATTGTTGACTCTTCTATTTCCCTTTAGTGAGCTTTGTAGATGCCTCGTTTTACAGTTCTACCCTTTTCTCACTCTTCAATTCAACGGGGTAGGGTTAAAAAACGCCAGCTGAAGGCCCTTATATCAAGTGGTTTCTGCAGAGCCTGGGCCACGATGGCCTCAACAAGCTCTTGGCGGGCTATGAGGACAAGTCAGCCTATGCCCAGCGCGGGCACCCAGGTCACCCCGGGACGAAAGCACAACGGGTGCCATGGTGTTGATCCCTGGCGGACGATTCATGTATAACATGTTTTTCTTGCGAACCTAAGGTTTGGTAGCACTTTTTGGAGCTGCTTAGCAAAGATAAGAGTAGGAGAAGCAAAGGTGTGTAAGCTTTGCAGGGACCCACTGGGTCCCTTCGGTTGGAGGGAGGTCGGGATCTGACCCGCAAGGATCGTTGCTGATCGTTGAGGATTGTTCGCGCATCGCTCAGATTCAACGTCCACGGGCCAGACCTGATTCGTTCGCCAGATTCGTTCGCCTCCAATACAGTCGAGGAACGGCGACCGCAAGCCAAGCACAAGATCCAACCCCGAAAAAGGTCCAAAAGTCCAGAAACAAAGTCCGAGGCTTGCCATCTCGGGTGTGTCAGTCTTGCCATCCTCGGACTCCTCGCCCTTCCGCAAACGACCGGGGATGCCCGGAGCGGCTGAAACGGCGCTCCGCTTGCTTCGTCCGCTCGGTGCCCAGGTGCCTCTTCACCCTCTGTGCGGGGCCTGGGAAGGAGGTGCGCGTCTTCGATGGACGGACCGAGGGCAAGATCGTTGAGGCGGGATCGAGTCAGAGGGAGATCAGAGGGAGATCAGAGGGAGTCAGGGGGGAGGAGATGGGTGCAGGGGCTCCGGAGTGGAGGGAATAGGTTTTCAAAGAAAAACACCATGGTTGTTCATTGTTCCTCTTCCTCTTGAATATTTATAGCATTACATATTACAAATCAGCTGCAGATGCTCCAAACCTCATGGATTGGCCGTGTCACAGCAATGAAGATGGTGGCAGCTTCTTCATTTTTCTGATTCTTTCTGCATCTTTCTTCTTTTCCCGGCTTGCTTATTTTGTTTCTTGGTTTTTCTTCTGTTTCTTGTTCCTGTTTGTTTAGTAGGTCGTTTCTCCTTCGTTCTGCTTCTTTCTTATTTTCTGGCTTTCTTATCTGGCCTCTGCTTGGCTTGTCTTCTTTTTCTTGTTCCTGATGTCTTTTCTTTGCTTCTTCTTCTGCAGCTTTTTTGCTTCTTCTTCTTCTTCTTCTCCGTTTGTCTTCTGTTTGTTCCTTTGTGTCTTTTCGTTGCTCCTTGATTGTCATCACTTCGTTTCAGGCGTTTTGGGTGCCTCGGTCTCAGATCGCGCCACGGTCCTCCAACACTTGCACCAGCGCCCTCCAAGCGTTGGCGGAGCGCAGCTCGAGCGCTCGCGCGTAGCCCGGGCGGTGCGTCCGAGTGGGCTCAGGCGCGGGGGCCCACGGACTTCGGTTGGGATCCTGTCTTCGAGCCCTCGGAAAGCGGAGGGCAGACCTTTGCCGAGATGAGCAAGGACTGATCGGCTGTTCGTGGCAGTTTTTGGAGGAGGGATTTAGAACCCAATCTGCGATGACTCGCTCCAGACCCCGCCACGGAGTCGGGCCAAGCCCGGTCAAGCAACTCCTCAAGTTTCAGGGAAGGTCAGCGGCTCATGATCAACTGCTCATTCTGGGCGGAGTCGATGAGATTCCAGGAGGTCCTTTGTGACTGGCTCCCTTGTGGCTTGGGGTCTTCCCCAAAGCTTTCTTCGGGCAACGGAGGGCCCTTCGGAGCCTTCTGGACCCTGAGGAAGCGCCGGAACACAACCCTCAATGTAGAAAATAGAAGGGAACCATCCTTGTTGTAGCTGAAAGGGGATGAACATTTGATTCGAACATGGAGGATCCCTCCCTTTGTAAAAGCTTCAAATGTGATGAATGTCAGTGATGACTTTCCCTCCCGGTGTCCGCCTACAGCACAGTTCCCCGCGGGCGCGCTACGACGCGTGCCTGCATGCTTCCAGGAGGCCAAGAATGCGATCTCTCACCGGGGGCGCGCGCTGCAGCTGCTGCGCACCTGGTTGGTGAACCACGCCGAGACCTTCGCACAAGAGGCCGCTTAAGAAGGCGACCGTATACCCAAGCTGGCGGAGCGACCGAAAAGCTGGTGCGACCGGTGCGTGGCGTGGCTCCCAACCGCGGTGCGGAGCGGCCCAAGCAGCGCCGTGCGGCTGAAATAGATTTTGGGGCCCCAGTGGGGCACACTGGCGCTGGTGTGGGAAAAAAGAACTTGCGGAGAGGTAGGAGACCAAGTCGGCTCAGTGCACACTTTCCTCTACCTAGCTCAGTGCATTTTCCCCATGAATGCTGAAGTAAGAAGCCCACTTTCTCAGCATCGGAACCTCCTGGCAACATCACACGATGCCCACCGGCGACCCCCTCCCACGACGCCAGGAGAACGCCGCGACGGCCGCGGCGGTGAGATGGCAGCGGCGAGCGAAATGCGGCGAATCCTGGGTGTGGCGCCTTTGCATCGTCCGTGAGAACATGTATAGAAACACCTATATAAGGAATTGCTTGTTATACAATTATAGACATGACATATATGTTTTTTAATTGAACAATTACATACAGCATTACATTCTTAATACAATTTTCTAAGAATTGCTTTGCTGTGGTGACGCCTTTGGATCAGGGGTGATCTTCACTCCTTGTAATCCTCAGACTCCGGGACTCTCCGATGCCACCGGCGCCACCGATGTGTTTTCAGCCCAAAGGGCCGCAACCGGCCCGGACTTCTGTGTGACCAACCCGGCTGGAGCAACAGGAGCGGGCCTTGGCGGAAGGGTTGGTTT